ATCCATCGAGCACTTAAATTCACCCTGATGCGACTGTATGTGGGTGTCTAAGAGAGACCCTTTTCTCATTGGCCTATGTCGGGTCAAACATAGCCAAAAAAAGCGAATATTTCAAATGCCACAATGGATTTGCTGAAGATCTCTATGATTCCGCTGCTCACGACAGCCCGATTCAACCATGTGCGGGAGGGGAGGACATTGCATAAGCAAATTACATGAGCCAATCAAGAGGAGACATTCGATCAAGAGTTCGCCTCCCATTGGTGAAAAGCATCCAATCACGGGAGGACATCCATTGCGGTTATTAATCCAAATCGCCTTCATCAACCTAAAAAAGCATTTGACCTACGTAGATTGTGCAATTTAGCGCACTCATGATGTGAGGCCTCAAACACAACCATTTTTCGAAAGTTATCTATGAAGTGAGATTTTGTGGAGTATTCAAGCTAATGCTAAACCATTGCCAAAGAAGTTGAAATTGAGTTTTTCATATTTTGTGTTGAATTTAATTTCTTCCACACCCATATGCTTTTGGATGAGCTGATGCGGTCAACAAAAGTTCTTTTAAAGTACTAGAGTAGACTTTCGATTCGTATTTCGATGACAACTTGTTTTTTATAACTTTGAGCGAGGACTTGTACCGTAAAATAAGATGCTTTTGGAGGTCAAAAAGAGTTGATGCTGCGTCGGCAAAATTTACAAGTCCATCTTGGTACTTGATACAGTTTAAGGCTTATCCCCCATTTTAAGCCATCACAGTAGAACATGCTGTCTGATTCGCGTTTGAGGGACTCCTCAAGAGTCCGTCTTCCTTGGGATGTCTTGTTGGCATAATTTATAAGGGAGCAGAGTACAGAAGAAAGGTGAGAGATGTTTATTCTTTGTCCCACTGCTGAGTCGGCCGCATCCGGACTAAACTCCTGCATCTGACCTTCAAGGTGCATGTAAACAAGTTGTATTTACTTCAGGGCTTTGAAGATGCCAAAAAAATCACAAAGTTCATTGCGTTAGTGACATTTGAAACCTGAAATTGTCCGAGGTAATGAATACCTCGGCAAAAATTTGACTGTCCTTATACGGTGTTTTGACTCTTAAAAGGTGAAAATGCCATAATTTTTGGATTGATCAAACTTTCAACAATCCAATTTGTGTACATTAGCTGAATAGAAAGGCGTGTCGAGTTCTCACTTGAAAGAGGGAATACCTGAGCATATATACTCCTTCCGTTTCCCCGTTGTGAGAACGTACCAAGCATTATGGTTGTTCCCGACCCTTCAAGTTTCAATTTAAACTGCGACTACTAAACC